GGCCGGGGCTCAGCGACGCCCCGCTCTGCTGCCGGAGCCTCCCGGGCTGTGCCGAGTCCCGACAAAGCTGCCGCCTGCCCGAGAGCCCCAGGCGTTTTAAACCGCGGGTGCAGGGACCGCGAGCTGGCGGCTGCCGCTTGTTAAAAACACTGTCTGCGTAAATTCAGAGCCTCCCTGCTCCAGCATCCCTCTGCCCCGTACCATTTCCCTATTGATATTTTCGCTCTCAAAACACATCAGGCCAAATTTATCTGGCAAAGCGCCTGCTTTGACAAAGTCACCGCGGACCCCCGCGTGCCTTGTGATGCCTTAAATAAACGCATAAAAACCCCAGAAGAACATGCCTCTTTGAACCAAAAGCCAGGTCCAACCTCCTCTGAACACATTAAACCACAAACAAATATCAAATCAAATGGAAGCAGCTTTAAAAAGAGGACAGTAAATTCATCCTGCTTGGCAAAGGCCTACCTTTCAGATGCCTATTTATATAACAAAGCCACTTTGTCCTTGCTACATACTGTTTGCTTTTTAATGCTGATATCGCTAATGGGGCTGCAGGGCACACCGAGTACCCAGTCTGCAACATGCACATATCAAATCAGCTCTGGCAGCTCCCTCTTTTAATAATCGTGCCTTTGATTACATGGGCAGGAGACGTAATTGTGAACTAACCTGCAAGTCTGAATACATACAGACATCCCGGAGCTACAAACAAGACTGAGATTTCAGTTCTCTGGTACTGACGACAGGTTTCTTTAGGGTAGTCTTGCACTTTAAATATTCACACAAGCAGCCCGTCTACACACGCGCCATAGCAACAGCACGCACCAGGACACACGCAGCCCTCTCACAGCTACACAAACTCCTCCAAACCGTACAGCGGCAGCGCAGGCTGTTGTGCCCGTATGAGAAGCACAGGCGGTGTTGTGCCAGAAGGCCGGGCAGCGGGCGGGGGCCGCCGGAGGGCAGCATCGCCCTGCCCAGCGGCCTCCACCTCCCCCGGGCCGCAGAGCCGCCCTCCCTGCAGCCTGGAAGGTCTCATGAAAATCGGGTATCGTTACCTCAGCACAGACCATTTTACTCGCTCTGAGCTGAAGTTCACGCCATTGCTACGTTAAGGGGCTCTTTTCAGTTGCACAAACACTGCGTATGGAGTTACCAAAGTGCAGTGATTTAACACGAGTACCTCAAACGTGGCAGGCGGGCTGAGGCGGCCGGAGGCCCGTCAGGGCCTGAGTGCGCTCCCGGCACGTCTCCCCGGGAAATGAGCCGCCTGAGCGGCGAGCAGGGCCCAAACTTGGACATTAGTCATACTAAGCCCTGTCCTTAGCAAAATGCTAGAGCAAGTTACTGACTGAAAGAGCGGCATCGTTTCAGAAAGGGCGAGGAAGGCGGCCAGGGAGCTCGGCCCAGCCAGGCCCCGCCGCCGCCATCTCAGGGCTC